TTGTTTATGTCCGTGTTTGCGTGTCTTATTTTTCTACTTGTACCGAAAATCCCTTTATAAGTTGCGCCCTCCCTCGTGAGTCCCCGTGAGTTTTTATTTCCCATTTCGTTTTTTTCCCGAGATTTTACGCAGCTGTGATGCATGCAGCAAATACCGTGGAAAACCTGTTACCGATAAACGTACTCTGTTTCACATATCGGCTGTTAGTCAGCAACCGGGTACTCTTGTCCACCTATAGTGTTATGCGGCCAATGCCTCGTCTGTATTCAGCGAAAACATTTTGCTCTCAATGAAACTACCTCTGTCCCCTCCTAAAATAATTCTACTCTACGGATGCACCGTTCAACAAATATAGCTTAACCATTTTTTTTCGATTGACGCGCTCACGCGTCAATCGAAACTATGCTGACTTTCCTACATGCTCCCTGGTCCGACCGACCGTCCGTTGTTCGTTCGTCCTACATCCGGGCTATTTCTGTTGACCGAGTCCCGTCATTGTGTCTGCACTTCCTGGTCTCTTATGCATGAAGCACTAAAAACTGGGCTACTATGTGATAAAATGTCAACATAGCTCTATGTTTGACACAAATATACATTTCAAATATAATTTCACGTTAATTGTTCTTCCTCAGGAATGTCAACTCGTTTTATAAATACTCCTTTTAAAGCCTAGCTTTCATGGTTACTCTAATGGCTCGATTGGTAGCGAGGCTGTAATTTTCTTTTTAACAGACGCTGTTTTGCTTTTAACACTCAAAAACTAATTATTCAAGTCTCGACATATGTTTTTTTTTCAATTTTCTTTTTAACATCTGCTGTTTTGCTTTTTAACATTCAAAAACTAGTTGTTAACGTTACTACTTATTATTTTAACATAAAAAAACTAGTTGTTATTACTGTTTTTCCATTATATGGGCAAGTGTTGCCTGATATTGCATTCTTGGGGATTAACATTCTCGCTATGGGTAATATATTACATGTAGTATGGTCATTGACAAGCTGTCAATATAAAAAAAACATGCACAATTGAAATCAATTGCTCCTGACATCACATAAGAAATCTTTGTATTTCAGATTTGATAATTAAGAATCTAATTTCCTCACTTAAAAATGACGTGAACTAGCTCCTAATGAGCATCAATTCTGGTTATATCTTTTCCTAAACTATCTACATGCCAATAGTGACAATCCCAATGTACATGTGTATGTAGTATAGCATAGCTAGATTTCAATCAAATACTTTATTATCACTTTACAAAAAAAACATATTTTTTTTGCATACGATTTTGTTGTGCAAAAATACAACGGCGTCAATCGACAGCTTTTTATAAAAGCACTTGTTTTGTCTCCTGGAAGAGTTTTTCGCTGCCGAAAAATCGACCGTAAAGTTGGGCTGCAAATCCGACATTCTGGCGGCGGCAGTCGGTACGGCCCTTTGTTGCATTCCAAAACGTGTTCAATTCCAAATCATGATTTGGAATAACACGTTTTGGAATGCAACACCTTCCCGCGCTGATTTTGACGGAGGTGTTCGAGTTGCTAGGGCGTTGCTAAGGGGGGCGTGGCTTATGGAATAGTCTGATTGCTCCGGCATAGTCTGATTGCTCCAGTAGCCGTTTTACGTGTGTCTTTTCTTTCAAATATAACGATAAGTAAACAAAACATTTTTTTTTTAAATTCCTGTCTTTCTTGTTGTCACAAAATGTCACACAAGTATATTACCTTGGCTACATGCTGGTAAATGACCATGCTATATTTTAAGGCAATGACCATGCTATTTGCGGTCGGGTGGTCTATGGAGAAATTTCAAGAGACCGAAAAGGTGGTCGCCTTAGGAGGAAGTTGCCCTACCAGATCTGACTGCATGTTGTTTTATCGAACAGTGAACAGCCTAACGCTCAGGACCAGCAATACCTCTGTCCACTCTGGCAGTGTTGACTCTTTGACAGTTGAAATCTTCTCTGACCTTTGTGATGATGTCTGCACAAACACAACTGTATCCGGACTTACAGACGTCGGGTACGTAATATAAGATACGTGTAGCTTGAACATAAATGTAGCTGCTTTATGTAGTCTCGGTCTGATGGTTCGCCCTTTTCAAGTTACAGCCTTTCAGACAAAAATTGCCCAGAGTTGGATGAGACGTCTACTTATAACCATCTTATTTAAAACGGACAGTACAGTTTCTTGTGGTGACAATGTGGTGCACAGTTAAATCTGTAACCCTTCACAAGAGTTGTGTACTACCGTAAATGCATTTTTTGTTCGCGAGAGTTTTAACTTCGCGATATTCACGAAGAGCTTCTTGTCGCAAAGTCATCTCCTCGCGCAATCGCGAACTTTTGTTCCGTACCGCCCCCCTCCCCCACAAACCATGCCCACCGTATACGAAGACAACAACAAAGTATACTAGTACTAAGACTCGAAGAATAACATCGTTTTTGTAATGAAATTCATTTAGTGAATCTTTGATTGTATCTTCCCACATGCACAACATCAAAGCACCGAGTACGATCGAACCTTTGCCGCTCCCAATTTCGGACGTCCCACAAGGCTTCGACTTACAACTTCAGGAGCGGACTGGCTCAAACTCGACTGGGTAAGCTGATATAATATCATGAACTTTGAACAGACTACTACATATTATGT